AGTGTATGCGCAAAAATATTTTGTCACAGACTCGCACTGATTTCACTAATGATGAGATTTTTATTGCTTTTTAAAGAAATATTGAAGTTAAACAAGGATAATTTAAGTCTCTGTTTGTGCTATAATCATTGTAAGAGAATGTTCAAAGCAAAAAGAAGAATCCTTTTGTGTTGTTTTATTCTGCTCACGTGATAAATGTGGAAGAATTCACCCAAACAATTTCATATCGTTTCAAACTATGACCAATATGATTAAATTAACAATGCGTAGATGATTTCATAAGCCATATTAAGATTTTTTTTATTTACATTTATGCAGTTTACATCTGCATATTCAGATACTATTTACACATTAGTGCAATGCAAACGCACAGCTCAATTTTCTCCTAGATTAAAAATCATAATATTAAAAAAAATTATTGTTGACGTTTTTATTACCATGTTGATCCGTATACGAGGAATCGTTTAGAATAAAATATAATTTTTTATATTTATTATCTGCATAAAGATCAAGGTCAGAAGGAGCTTCCTGAATCAATCCCTTTATTATTTAAGTTTGTATCAAAATATATTTTTTCTAATATATAGTTAAGGATATATTTTTATACTAATACGGAGGAGAAAAAAAATTTATCATGGATTTCTAAGAATATTTTTATGAATATTTTATAGGGAGATAATTCGTAATCAATCCGAATTATTCATAGACTTTTAAAAATATTTCTATAAATATTTCGTACAAGAGATAGGTCAAAACCCGTGTTATTTTTTTGGACTCTTATTAACGATGTTGGACTTTTCGTGATGGATCTTACGTGATATTAACATGATGAGTGATGACTACTTAAATTATATATTCTCTCTCACTCTCTCACTCAACAATCTTAGCATCAAATTAAGAACCAGCAGTAATATTATTAGATGCAACACGCTAATGATTTGACTAATCGTTATCAAGATGTTGTTTCTTGTCAACATTTATGCAGTTTGTATCGGTTCTTTTTGCTAAGAGAATTTCCAACAAATGCAAATGAGAAGCACTGTAAAGACTTTATTAACCTCGTAATCAACCAAATCAAATAAATAAAACATAAGAAACTACAAGTGTCGATTAAATTAACAAGAACAAAAATAAAGTGAAATGTTGGTTGCAATGACCCATGCATGGCACATGCGCTCCCCCAAAAGCAGAGCTTTGGGGCATATGTCCAAGACAACCATATTTAAGCCTCTTATTCCACACAATATTCATACCCAATCAACAAAATCTCAAAATTACCCACTTGCCAACCAATTTTTTTTTTTTTTTTGGAATTATCTCATGATGTGCTCATATTCTCTCCAATCCCCACACTCCTTTTAGAGAGAGGAACAGTGTGAAGAGTCGTCCACCCAGAGAGAGAGAGAGAGAGAGAGAGAGAGACAGAGAGGGAGAATAGTGCGAAGAGTGGGGAGAGAAGGGCTTTTTCCTCTCCCTCCTCCTCCTCCTCCTCCTCCTCCGCCTCTTTCTCTCGCTCTTCCTCTCCTTTCTTGCTTCAAGATAAAGTGTGTAACTCTCTCTCTCTCTGTCTATATATATACACGTATAGCCAACTCCTTAAAAGGTCTCTCCTTTTCCTTTCTCTTCACAGAAAAGTAAGTGGAAGACGCTGCCATGGCCGATTCCGGCGACCAGAAGAGGCATTCCATTGTAAAGCTCGCTCTTTTCGTGGGCTTCGGAGACTCCGCGGCCGCCGCCCGCTCACCCCGGAGCTTTGCCGCCGGCGATGGCGCCGTGGGCCTCGCCATCGTCGCCGCCATGAGCGCGGCCGCCGAGGAGCCGGGCGCGGTCCTGACCCGGTCCGAGCCGATCCCGATCGGCGCCGTGGTGGCGAAGCCCGGGTTGACGGCCGCCTCCCCGAAGAAGGGGGAGGCGGGGGAGGACGTGGAGCTCTCCGAGAGCTACACTTGCGTGATCTCGCACCTCGGAGGGAACAGGGTGAAGAAAAGGGTCTACTTTGGCGATGGCGACGACGGCATGCTCTTCGAGCCTCCACCGCCTCCGGAGTTAGCGGAGCCGCCGTTCGTGGTGGCTGAGTTCCTGAGGTGCTGCTTCCTCTGCAAGAAGAAACTCGACGGAATGGACGTCTACATGTACAGGTGCCCGTTGATTTCTTCCCTTCCTTCTTCCTGTTTGTTCTGATGCTTATAAATTTTGGGATCGTTGAATCATGTCAGATAGCAAACCTATGATCTTTGGAATTTTTCGTGGATCTTTTTCTTTCTTTGAGGTGGTGGTGGGGACATCGGTGGTTCTGTCATCAGACACATGCTGTTTCTTTAATCAAATTATGCTACTATTTTTTTATTTTTGTTTCATTCTTCTTTCTGCTGGTGACTGAAGAACACATAATTTCCACCTGATCCAAAAATCCATGGATTTTACATGCTTGCATGTAACCCATTCATATACCTAATTCATGCATAAGAACATTTTATGTGGTGACATATATCTGCTTATTACTTGAATGCATTTGTACTTGTATGAAACTTTTTCAGATGTGTTCATATGTAAAGAGTTTGCCCTTCCACAAAATTATCCTTCTTAGAGTCTGAATGTGAACTTTGGACAAATCGAGTATTCATATATCATGGTGTTCCCTTCCAGCCTTTGATCAATTGTTTCCTTCTTTCTTTCATGCTTAATCTTAGCCTTGACCAATAGGGTTCTAATGAAAAACTCTATTGTTTATTTTACTTGTAGTCTGTTTTCTGATTTGAGTTCAATCCTTCTTATGATAGGGTTGTTCAGAGTGATCATAGGGTCCATCTACTATATAATCATTGTTGTGTAACTTTTGCAATATAACCATTATGATGTATCGATGGTAGCTAAGCTTCTTGATAATATTAGAAATTATTGCTTTGAGATTTTATGCTGATTTTGGTAATTTTGAGAGCATTTTTAGTTTTCCAACATTCCAAGTTAAAAAAAAAAAAACATCACAATCAATTCTCCTGACTCTGCACAAAAATATTTTTATCTAAATTTGTAAGCATAAAATCATTAAATAGAGTTGAATGGTATGTAGATGCTTTTCTCCTAACAGTCAGTCAACATGTACAACCAAAAAAGATAGGGATATCTGAAGTTGACATTGATTTCATTCTCTCAAGTTAGTTGACCTAATGAGCTGAATTTTTAATTGAACTTATACTTGTCTGCTACTGAAAGAAACAGTGAGATGGATGAATAGGTAACTTCAGTGATTGTGTTTCTGGGATCAATTTGAATTTCTTCTTAAGGGTTTAATATTTCTGTGCAAAATTACAAGTATCGTATATGCTTGTTGACAGGCAGAAGTTTTGTTGGCAAATAAGAGAAGCAAGAAGTCTTAGCTGATCTTCGATGCCTGAACTTATAATCTATCTAGCACTTGTCTCAGTCACCAACTCTCTACGCTAAAACTTTCAGTTCAGATTAGAATGTCAACTACAAGTATGGATGTTTCTGCATGTTCCTTTTCATCAAGCAATCTTTAAATAGAAATTCTAGATTGAATAATATAAACTTTCTTCTTGTGGAACTTTAAAGTCAAAATGTTCTTGTGCTTGTAGTTGCTACAGAACAATTTGAGCTACCCCTTTTCTGAGGGGAGAGAGTGCCAGGAAGTTTAAGAAACTGATTTAAACTACTTGTGCCAAGACATTCTATGATTTACATATTCTTATCCTAAGCTGGAAACAACCTCATTCTCATATGGTAGCAACTCGACTACCTCACAAATATGTGTTACTCTTATTCGTATTGGTCTATATGCTGTTGCGCTATACATCTGAAACTAGTAGAAAGAGTAGAATCGGAGTCCTAAGATTGTAGATTATTCATTGCATAAAATGATGTAATTTGTCCACAATATATTGTTCAAGGTTCTTCAGAAAGTTATAATGAAGATTGTGTATACTCCATAGCACTATGTAATCATAGATTGTTTCCTTTGGTCAGACATTATTAACTCCTGTGTTCTTTTGTCGTTCTTCCTAGAGAAGTTTCGTTGGAGATGGATCTTTGTATTAGGTACTCCATATTCCGCTGTCGTTGAACTTAATTTTGGAACATCTATTCAAACCTGTTCTGTTTTTTATCACATTGATTCTCTCTTCGGCACGCAATGATGAAGACTTTGTGCTTGGTACTATATTCCTCAAAGTACATCTCTTGTTAATTTGTTGTATGATTATATCAGTCAAACTTGTGAGCTTTTCTTTGCAATCGAGGAGTCTCTGTGTGAAGTCCTCGTTCACTATTGTTTGGTAAGTCACAAAAGAGTGTACTAATAGAGCATTCGCCTACCATTTTGTTTTTGTTGCAGAGGAGAGAAGGCCTTCTGCAGTGAAGAGTGCAGATACCAGCAGATGCTACTAGATGAACTCGGCGAGAAGTTTAGCACTGGAGCACTGAAGAACTGCGAATGCTCTTCGGTTCCCTTCCGTGTTACAACTGGTGTTGCAGCTGCTTGATCATACCAAGTAGTAAAACTAAAAGGATACGAAAGATGAATAAGTGGAAGGGTTAAAGGAGTTGATAACAGATACTTCCAGTATAAATACAGTATTCATAGAGGAGTGTATGTACCAAGAATGGAATACATAAGTTCCAACATATATGAAAGAAAACATTAAAGATTTTGGACATGAAGGTGTACACTAGTGTGCTTGCTGTGATCTCTGTTTTACAGTGGAAGAAGACATTTGGAATTCTATTGCTCTAATGATCTTCTGTGAAAGATCACCTCACCATTGCAATCTACCTCTTTGAGATAGCTTGATTCATGGACATCATATGAACAATGTGTGTTACCTACCTTCGTCTCATTTTCTCTCCCAAATTTATGCCAACACATGAATGAATTTCCCCACAAAATTTTATGCACACGGCAAATAATTAAATCCCCATTTATTTGAATCTAGAGGATCCTCTCAAACATTAAAAATAAAAATAACATTTATTTGCCCAAAAATAATAAAAAAACCAACTAGACTACAGCGGTTGACTCGCTTATTTTCCGAATTATTTCTCTTCCTGCACGCAATGCTTAGAACCTCCCTTGTCTTCTCTCTCATCAGTCTGCCTTATTTTCTCAATGGTTGACTCGCTTAATAAGCTTTTAAAAGAAAATTTCGGAGGTCCAAAGCTTAGCACGACATCAGAGGAGAAGGCTCGTCTTCTTCATTTAATTGGAGTTCTACCGATCTTAACATGGGATGAAGGTCAGCTTGACACAATTTGATTTGTTTCTCACGAACAGGAAAGAAGAAAGATGGGAAGATGGTTTCAGGGGGGAGAAGTGTCATCCCTCGCCGGCAGCCATTCACTTTTCTGCAACCTCACCTGCAGCTATCAGCAGTAGTAAATGCCTTCTTTGGTCTTCTCTACCATCTTCAATATGCTTCGGAAGACAGACACCTCGCAGGGGATTCTCAGCACTCCTTCCTGCTCGAAGCCATACTCCTCTTCTGCTTCTCTGAGCAGAACTGCGAAGGCCGTGTGACTCAAACACTCGGTTGGGATCACGAATCTCTGCATCTCCTGTCCGACACACACAACGAAGCATCCCTTTGGGATGTACCCGGAGAGGGAGAGGGCCCTCTTCAGGAACCTGATGCTCTTGCTGCTGCCATCGCCTGCAACTGCAAGCTTCTTCCACTTCTTCAGCATCTGCTGGTAACTGACCAACTCGGTGATCTTGCTGAGCTTCTTGGAGTCCATGGATGCTGGGTGGTGCCTTGGGAATGCCTCAAGTGCAAGGCAGTGTGGTTGTGTTGGTAGTGGCTCTGGTGATGCTGTGGATCGATCTCTGAGAATTTATAGGAGTTGGGACTCAGAGTTGGACACTTTCTTGGCTTATTTATTGGATAGTGGGAATATTATCTGCTCAAATTAGCTTCTGTAGGTGAATGGATGCGTGATTAGAAGATTAATGTATACGTTAATCATCAATTAAGAATAACAATTATAGATCTTGAACTTAATGCCTTTGCTGGTTGACATGGCTATCACCGAAGGAAGATATCCATTGTTCTTATACAGCAAAAAGGTTTAACTGGTTTCGGAGATCCATGCATCATCATCACAACCATAGATTTGTCAGAAACATAATGTGGGTCTTTGGAATTGATTCCAATCGCAGAGCGGATGCATGCAATCTTCAATTGCAGATACAGCTCTTGGCACTTGCTGTCCTATCTTGCAATTCTTGTGCCACCTTAAGTATATAATATCATATTGTGTCAACTGCCAACTTTTATTGATTAGTATCATTCACAGCTTCATAATGCAATGCAGTGGTCATAACCTATTAACATGTCAGATGAAGAAGAGAAGACTGCATTTGAAAGTCTTCTTTCTGTCATAAACTAGGATGTTCTTCATTGACTGTTCTCACTAGAATGCCCACTTGTTCTTTCCAATCATTTAGCAGTTGAGCATGGTAAACCTTTATATATATATATATATATATATATGTATATAGATAAATTCCATAGGTATGGCCAAATCTCAGGATCCGAAATTTCTCCTCTTCTTGTCTGATTTTACTACATCAACCACCATATCTTATTTTTTATTTAGTAAATAAGGTGGCTATTGGAACTCCATTTGAATAAAAGGCATTCTAGCTGACAAATTCTAATGGTACTTACTGTTAAGGAAAAATTGAAACTAGAATGATACACATTTTCAGAACTTTGAAAACGGATGTCTAATCTGAAAATTGATTTTTTAGCTTACCTAAACAATTAAATATCCATCAAAACTCGACATCGATATATGAAGTTACGGAATTTAAGCTTTTAATTAAAAAAATAAATCAGTCTTACACTTTCTTTTTTGAGGTGATTTGTTATGATTTAATGAAGGAAAAAATTATCACCACTTAGTGCAACAACAAGGAAGAAATAATTACAAAACCATCCAAACCTATCAATGACTACTAGTCTGCTCAAAATTGTAGTTCTTACAACTTTTCCATCTTCTTCTGCACATAAAGTAGAAAGGACCAAAATATGAGATCTTAAGGCATCAAAATAGGATACAATCCACATGCTAATAAACCCTACCTCCTCTTGTGCCAGGAATCTGGAACGTATCAAACATTGATCCACATGCTAAAACCAAACAATGAAGCTGACACCCTAACAGAAGACTGCCCATCATGAGGTTCATGCACCAAGTGAACTCTTCATTTGCTGATTGCATAATGATAAGCAACCACCGTCTATTAGTTGGTTGGCACTGCTAATTACACGTTCGCAGCAAGTTAATCAGTGGTGGTATATACGATACATCGTATTTTTCGATTATTATTATTATTATGATATTTTTTTATTTTATATTAGATGATGAATATATATTATAATATCTTTGGATCTGTACAATGAAAAATAGATTATGAGACTAATTCACCTATAAACATAGATCGTTAAATATTCTCGGTCATTGGTTACTCGAGAGGGACATCGAGATAATTGGACAGATCGATGTGCTATATACCTGTCCATATGATGAAAGCAGTTACTCTTATAGTTACTTGTGTGGGGATATTAGAGATATAGTGCAGGTGCTCATTGGAGAATGAGTTTACTGAATGATCCACTTATAGAATACTGGATGGTTAATGATACCTCATTGTCAAACGACGATTTCAGAGTCCCAGTTGTATATTTGGTCATTAGATTTGAGACACAAATGATATTTTATTTGAATACTTCATTCTTTGATATCAAACTTATAGGTCTGGAAGTTTCGAATCTAATATAAACGGTTATTGGGAATGATATGTAACCTTACAAAGGTAATTGGGTGTCAATAGTAGATCTTCCGCTCTCAATATTATGATAAGAATATCCCATGTGTTCTCACTCAAGCAAATCTCAAGCTAAGGTCATTTAGATTGTGATGAAGCCGATAAGCATGAGACTCGGATTGAGAGAGGAGTTCTATAGAAAAATCCGATTAGAGTGAGACTCAAATAGATTTCGTATGAGCCTGATAGCACCATTCTCGGTATACGATCTCTGAAATATTAGATGGATGAGAGACTCTAGATACATGATAACTGAGGACAGACATGTCCAATGGATTAAATACTCCTATATCGTCTCGGGATTATGGCATAGTGGCCTAGTACATCCATAGTCGATAAGTTGAGTAAATTATATGAGGATAATAATTCTTTGAGTCAGAAGGAGTTCTGACAGGTGTAACTCATGGCTAACTCGGTGTTGGCATAGAGGGTCACACACATATGGTGGACAACATGACGAATAGAGGACCAGATATATGATATCTGATAAGCCCTTATTTTAATGGATCATTAAGAGAAATCCAATAGAGCTTAGAATGGTTATTGGATAGGGATTCATTATCCATTAAGTCATAATAATTGGATGAAGATCTAATACCCAATAAGAATGATTTATTAGAGTTAGTTAAAGGAGGCTCGCTATAAATAGGAGTTGAGAGTAAAAAAGTTATAAGCTAGACCCCTATTGCTGCCGACCTCCTCATCTCTTCCCCCCTTCTTCCTCCAGTTGACCACCCCCTCTCTGGTGCGAGAGGACAAGAGGCGCTGATCTCTCCTAGTGTGTTGCTACGTTATGGTGCACAATCACGAGGAAATAACGTGTTGTGCGAGGAGGTTTGTCGTTGCTGTGTCCATCATGTGGATCACCACTAGAGAGGAGTTTACGAGAGCTCCTTCATCCATATACTAGGATCTACCATCTTAGGGGATATATGAGTTCCCTTAGGTGAGAATATCTTAACCACTTTATACAGTTTTCGATTTCATGAGTTTTATGCTCCTGATTTTTGTATGACGATTCGATAAGATTATTTTGGGAAATCAGTTTTTGTTTTTATTTTTCACTATGCATGTGATGCTCCCTAGTATTTCCCAATAGTGGTATAAGAGCTAAGTTGCTCGTGCGAAGATCGATTATTAACTACATATTATATTGAATCGGTTTATCGTAAACAGGTAGCACTTTCGTCGATTTGAGATTAGAACAGTGTAGTTTTGGTTTATGAACTGTTCTATCGCCTAAGAACTTCTGGACATCAAATTTGATAAGGAAGGAGGCAACAAAGGTTATTGCTTTGTAGATTTGGCCGAGGGTTGCTTGCAGCCCTGGCTGAGAGGAGCATTGGTTGCTCTCGACCTAGCCAAAACTGCCATGGTCGAGGGCCACCTAGCCAAAGGTAGCCTTGGCAGCCAAGGTTTCCTGGCTGCCCAAGGGTGTTAGGCGGCCAGGGTTTCCTAGCTGCTAGGGGCACCTTGCCCCATGGATCTACGAAGATTTTAAAATTGGATTAAGGGTTAATCCAAGTGTAATTAATTAAGAGTTAATACTAAATCAATTAAAGAGTTTAGTTGATTACTGGCTAGTTAGTCCGATATATATATATATATATATATATATATATATATATATATATATATATATATATATATATATATATAATGTGTGTTGTGGACAGATGACCATGGACCATGTGTGCTATATGTATGTGTTTATTATTGAGCCCTACGAGTCTCTTTTTCTCTCATTAAATCTAGCATATATTTCTATCTCCCTCGAAGTTATACCTCTTCTTAATGAGATCAAGGTTTCTTTATATATGATATGTACATGTTTCGGCTTGCGTGCTTGTAATTCAATTGTAATTGCATGAGAAAGTGCAGTGGGAGCGTGGAGGCGCTGAGGACAAGATGAATAATCAGCGAGCATGGAGATGTGCTAAGGTACCGGTAGGACCGAGAGGACAAGACGAGTGATCACCATGGAGATGCGTCGAGACATATATAGAGATTTTGTATGGGATTAGGCCTTTTGGTTTAGGCCTGATCATACTAGGTTCTAGTTCATGATCATCTAGTGTGGATGCCTATATGTGATATATGTTTATTTCTACACACACTAGGTACATATATATGTATATTTATGTATATATATAAATACATATGTATATATATATATATATACATATATATATATACATATATACATATATATATATATATACATATATATATAT